AATTATATCTCACGGAGCTCAAGTACCTGCGAAAAATTGTCACGTTGTTCACATTAAGTTATTTATTAAAAAATGGGGTTTTAAAAAGCTGAAAGCACTGTATCTGGACAATGAAGCGCCATATCTTCTCTAATACTCCATCTAATTGAATAATTAAAACACCATTTTGAAGGAAAGCTTCACCGGTTGAGCTAAAAAAATAAAATTTTTTAATAGGGTTGCCACCCGCTTAAAATTTTAGTGACTAAAGTATAAATGGAGTAAAATATTGCAACGCATTCAGGGAATGAAAGGCCTTTAAATACACTCTTAACCAAAGTAATTATTTTGAAGGGAAAAAGAAAAAAGAAAATTTAACTATCTATATACATACATACAGTATTGGACATATCTATAGCACCCCCCTTTCAAAGCGATATTGTTTGCCACTTATGTTTAATTATTTGTTTTTAAGAATTTTCAATTAAAATACAGTTCATTTTCCAACAAAACCCATATAAACCAATGTTTTAAACTTTTTAAAAGACCGCAAAAAAGTGCAACAAACTTTCCCTTAAATTTCAAACTTTTTTCTCAGAAGCTGTAGAATTTTTTTGAGTACACAGTTTTATAGCGCATTCAATTTTGTCCAATAATGTGCAGGTTTCAAGTCGCTAAAGATTACCGTTGATTTTTTAGATTTTTTTTGTCTCATTTGCTTCCATATAACGACTAAACACAATTTATTTTTATATGGCAGAAACCCGCAACATCCTCGGCGAAAAAAATTCTAAAAAATCAACCGTAATTTTTAGCCACTTGAAACTTGCACATTATTAGACTAAAATCGAATGGGCTATAAAACTGTGTATTCAAAAAAATTCTACCACTTCTGAGAAAAAAGTTTGAAATTTGGGTGAAAATTTGTTGCACTTCTTTGCGGTCTTTTAAAAAGTTTTAAACTTGAGTTTATGCGAGTTTTGTGAGAGAATGAACTGTATTTTAATTGAAAATTCTTAAAAATAAATAAATGAACATGAGTGGCAAACAATATCACTTTGAAATGGGGGTGCTATTGTATTGGCCAATACTGTATATGTATAAAACAAAGTTGTTAACATAATACCGAGCATAGCTCTAGAATAGATTGTCCTATATGAGCTGTCTTTTTTGTTGTGTTTGTCTCTACCCAAGGAAAACTGAAAACATTTTCTGAATGGAAAATTCCTGAAAATAAATTTTCCATAGATCTTGTACACAAAATTTTTTATTTTTTTAAATTGTATCAACGCTAAACATTATGTAGGTTAGGTTAGATTAGAATAACTGTATAATGGAATTCGGATTAAAAATATAAAATGCGCTTTATAAGTGTTGTTTTCCTCGAACTGGCTCATTTTTCACTTTTCGCTTCCATGTATTCACTACGGCCGAATGAAAAATTTCGGGCGAAACCCACGATAAGGCTGAATGAGAATATTTGGCGCGTACATTTCATTAGTGAATATGGATCGATTGCTTCGAAGATAGCTTGAATTCATCGGCTTTGTACTTTCAGTGTCCGTAAACCATTCGCCGATCAGAATTCAACTTTATCCCGAGTTTCGCCCGGAAAAAAATTCACCCGAAAATTTTTCAACCGCCCATAGTAAATACATGGAAACCAAAAGTGAAAAGTGAACCGACTGGGAGAAAATGAAACATTGGCTCACGCAATCGCAATTTACAAAGATTGGCGATTAGCAGTGCACATCAAAATCCTCAGCAACGCGCCCAACTTAATCAACGGCTTTGAGTGCTTGCGTCGCGAATTCATGCTCCTTAACAACTAAAATAAAAGCGGAATCCCGATATGCATCGTACAGTGAGAAGTACCGTGAATGTCCAATTACTTCGACATGCCGCAACGTTGAGTATATCGAAAATGGCAATGAAAGATATGCCTTCTGACGACCCGAAAGCCATAATCACATTAGATAAATAAAATGTTGTATAAATGTTGGGCGAGAGGAAGTTCGCCGGGTAAGCTAGTGAAATGTGAAATGTCATAACTAGGCACTAGGTAAATCATCTGAAATCTTAGTTACATTATTTTTCGGATGGTAGTAGTAATATCGGTTTGGTACAAAATCCATTTACGAAGCATTCATAGATCTCCAGAGTACCTAGACATTGAAACAAACATTTGAATCTGCGTCTCTGAAAGAGTTTTGGGTTAGTGTTAAGAGTAAATATCATGAAGTCGCTAAAAAGGCCATCTTAATTTTGCTTCCTTCTGTCACAACGTACTCTGTCAACAGGGTTTTCAGCTTACACTTATACAAAACAAAAAACAAATTCATGTCGAAATTGGATGCTACCCCAGAAATGCGCATGCAGCTTTCAGACATTATATCGAACTTCTATTTTATACAATAATTAATAACAGTGAAACAATTTCATTCTTCACATTAAAATTTAAAGTATGTATACTACTTCTAGTATTCATATTTAAATTGCACTGCTTTTGATTTTTAGTAATTTGATGTGGGGTTCCATAAAATTAAAGGTGTTTAGTAAGGGTTCCACCATCTTAAAAGTTTAAGAACCCTTGGTGTAGGTGTTCAAGAAAAACGCATCGTTGGTCCGATAGAAATATTTCGAAAATATTCAAGATGGTACTTAAGGAGACTAAGCACAATGTTTATACCAAATGTGGTCGAGATCGGTCTAGTAGTTTTTCCTAAAATTTCCTGAAAAACCATTCCTTTGCTAAATAGCGATTGTGTATATCAATTTTGAATAAATATTGATGAATTTTGGCTATTTGTCCTAGTTTATTTAACGTTTATTATTTATGTGCTTTTTTCCTAACAAAAACCATATAATACCAAATTTCCAACTTTGTGCAAAAAACTATAAAAATTAGTTCTGCAATGTTTCGCCAAATTTTCAAACTTTTTAATTGGAATCTTTAGAAAAAAATTTGGGTTGCAGTTTTGTAACTTATTAAAATTGAGAATAATAAGGTGCGAGTGGAAAGTGCTGCTCATTTGCTTCTCTTACAAAAAAATGGTCGAACATACTTATTTTGTATGAAAAAAATGTGTAACACCGTCAACAAAAAAAAATTGCCAAAAATTAGTGGTAAGCCTTACCGACTTAAAATTTCACTTTATTATACTAAAATTTAACGATTTTTTTTTTATTTTACGGGGTAAAAATCTCAAGAATTTCCTACAAATTTGTGATGTTTCTATAGGGATACTGTTTCAGGGAAAACAGTGTGGAAAAAATTTCCAAAATTATTTTTTGTCCCACCCAGCAAACAATTAGGTTTGATATACATTTGAGAATGATTTGAAATCAAAGCATTTCTCAAATGTCAAACGTTTGAAAATGATTTGATATTGATTTGAAAATTACAGCTTTCTCAATAAAAAGGGGAGTTTGATCTCCATTTGAGAAGATGGTTAACTCTCAAATCGATTTCAAAGGTTATTTATCAATTGTACTTCAAATGTGGAAATAAAATTTATCATAGGAAATGTATATTTTATATTTATTGTTTCTTCGCCATGTACATATGTATCTACATAACAAAAGAAACAATTAAGGTAAAGTAATTTATAATAAATACGTTTTGAAGGGCTGCAACTTCTTCAATCCGCGTAAACATCAAATCCACTATTTGTGGGCTTTCTCTTTGAAAATTTTTTTCTATTCATTGGTTTTTTTCAATTGATCTTAATTTTATTCTTACAATTTTTGATTTAACCGCGCATTTTTATATCGTTTGAAACTTGACATCTTCCTTCAAATTAACCTCAAATGAATTTCAAATGTAAAATTTAAACGTCGTTTTCAATTTGAGAATCACTTGAGAAAAACATTTGATATCAAATTGAGAAATACATTTTTCTCAAACGTTTGAAACTATGTTTGTTGGGCATATTCGGCTCACATATATATTGTCACCGTATATATAGTAGTCTCTGTATGATTATATCGATGGCTGAGTGGAAGATCGACTTATCTCGACAGGGGGTCAAGGCTCTTGATATTGCTTCATACGTGTTGTAATGTTCTGAGTCAGGAGCGGATGGCTCAAGACCGACCATACGTGGCGACGAGTCACACCCTGCGAGAGGTGCCCCTGCTTCTACTGAATATGGCGGATATAGAGAGGACAACTCGATAAAACCCGTAATTCCGAGTGTCATCCGTACCGTGCTTATGGGATGAATGGCACTACGTAAGTGTGTCTTTTAACGGTGGCCTCCAGATACCTGGCGCCCTCTGGTTGTAAGAAGTCTTGCTCGGGATATTGGGGGCTATGTCCCAGCTGACATCCCTTCCCCCATACTCGTGGGACACACATGAATAGTAAAAACTATATAAATCAAAAGCCAGAAGGAGCTGCACAGCTCCAAACAATGGCCAATGCTGGCCTTTCGACTTCTGTCGAAACAGAAACCATCGCTACAGAACTACTGGGGGCGCATAGTCCCTCGTATGACGTAGAGATGGTGGATACTAGCGTGAGACAGGATGCGAGTCCCGTCAGAACGCTATCTGATATCTCGCCGGAGGATGAGCAGAAGCTGCTTGCCTCTCCGGTGAACAACCCATCTCACCAAGCTCGAGAGCGGGAGCGGCTTAGCGGAGCCGGTCGGAAACGCCTCAAGCGGTACATAGAAAAGGGAATGAGCTATGAGCAGGCTAGAGAAAAAGCCAAAGAACCCGTTGGCCCACCACGGAGGGAAAAAAAACTCTCCAAAAAAGACCTAGGTCTGATAGCTCTACCCCGCAGAGGCGATCCCCGAAGAAATTTGCCAAATCCAGTGAGGGATCTGCAGGGGGCAGGCCAGCTGGGACTGCATCTGTGCCCACCGGGGAGGCAACTGTGCCGCATGCACCTGCAGATTGTCGCGGGGAGCCGGTTTCATTTAGGGATGCACTGTGCGGAGTGAAGCTGGGTTTAGTCCCGGAGGACTATCCAACCACAGTGTGGTCAACGGATGAGCTCAGAGCTATCCAAAATGCCATCCTCAGGGCGGTCAGGAGCAACACAGTTAGCGCTGTAAAGCCTATCTTCAAGGGTTGCACCTTCCACTCGGGATGGCTATCCATCAGTTGCAGAGATGCTGCGACCGCGGGGTGGATACGGAACACTGTTCCAAAGCTGGCACCATGGAAGGGGGCGAAGATGAAAGTGGTCGAGGAGGCAGAAACACCTCGCCGCATCATTCTTGTGGGACTCTTCCCGGAGCTGGACAGCTCTGCCAGTGAGGATGCGCTCAGTCTGCTTCAGGCACAGAATGACGGCCTGAGAATTCCGGACTGGCGCATTCTGAATCGAGTACGCAGGTCAACAATGGCGGAAATCACCATTGCAGTTGACCCGCTATCAGCGGACACGCTAAAGCACCGCGGGAACGTGGTAAACTATGGCTTTGGCGTAGTAAAACTTAGGGAGAAAGCCAAACCGTCGATGCCCGTGGTAGACAAAGATGCCGCCGACACCGAATACCCTAACTCGGAGGAGCAACCTTGCTGCTCCAAAGACGTCATCGTAGCTCCCAGGCAGCTACCCAATGACACGCAAGTGCAGCAGAAGTCATCGGAGGTTGGCACAGAGCTACACGTAGCATACAAAGCTCCAACAACGCCTCCGAAAACAGCAACAACAACATGCCCGACCCTACAACAGGTGCTGGAAGAAGCCCAAAAAAGCGTCGGACCCATCGCATCCCCAAAGCCTGCAAAACGGCCACCACTACATGGCAGCTCCAAAGCGGCTATGTCCAGCCGCAAAGGCAAGGGAGATGCAAGGACGGCCGAAGAAGCGGTCTTGCTGAAGGGCAACAGGGGGAAGAAGGTGGATGCTCGCGGCCGAAATGACCGCAAGTAATGGCACCTCACCCCAAAAACTCCACAAATCTGAGGCACATTAAATGCCTCCAAGTGAACCTTCACCACGCGAAAGCAGCATCAGATGTTTTACATAGGAGGTTCACAAACGAAGGCTTAGGTGTAGCCTTCATCCAGGAACCCTGGATATTAAGAGGTGACGTCAAAGGCCTTAATATAAAGGACGGTAAGATCATCTATGCCGCCAGCTGTCGCCCAAGAGCGGCGATGCTATTATGTAACAAACTAACGTTTCTCCCTCTTTCACAGTTCATTACGGCAGATCTCGTTGCGGTATGGGCCAAAATTCCTACTCCTAGGGGGGGTGCAAGAGGCAGTACTTGCCTCCGCGTACTTCCCGGGTGAGGAGGAGATAGCCCCGACACCTGAGGTAAAGGCGCTTACGGATCACTGCCGGCAGAGTGGTATACCCTGGATCCTCTGCTGTGATGCAAATGCCCATAGCACTGTCTGGGGGAGCACCGACACCAACAAAAGGGGTGAGTACCTCCTTGAGTTTATAAGTAGTTATAATATAAGTATTATAAACCATGGCAATGAACCAACGTTCAGGAACGCTATTAGAGGGGAAGTCTTAGATCTTACTCTAAGTAGTCAGAACATGGCAGCGTCTGTCACAAACTGGCGCGTCTCAGGGGAGGTATCAATGTCGGACCATATGCACATAGAATTCGACATTGGCCACTTTCCTGAGCATGAACTAGTTTTTAGAAATCCCAGAAAAACGAACTGGGAATTCTTTCGCTTTATCATGGAAGAAGGTGGAAACAGCCATGGTGGTCAAATTACGACTGCGCACGAGCTTGAAACTGAAGCTGAACAGCTTCATTCAGACATTGGAATAGCTTTCAATAGTAGCTGTCCCCAAGGAAAGGTAAAATCCAAACGTGATGTGCCTTGGTGGAGCAAGAAGCTTGAGCAAATGAGATGCCAAGCCAGAAAACTATTCAATAGAGCAAAGAATACGGGTGATTGGAATCCGTACAAACTTGCACTAACTTCTTACAACAAAGAATTGCGGAAATCCAAAAGAGCTAGCTGGCGAAACCACTGCGAGGAAATAAAGAGCCTCCCAGAGGCTGTACGCCTCCAAAAAGCTCTAAATAGGGAACACAAAAATACGATCGGCACTCTACAGAAACCAGATGGTAGTTATACTCAGCATCCGGGAGAGACTTGCAGACTTCTGCTAGACACTCACTTCCCGGGCTGCAAAGCGGGCTATTATCTACCGGAATTGGGTGTCCCAGCACGCACTTCTGGTAGAGAGCAAAGCCTTGCAACTAAACTTACCACGGTAGAAAGAGTGCAATGGGCGGTATCTACCTTCAGCCCATACAAATCACCAGGACCAGATGGGGTCTATCCTTGTCAACTCCAACAAGGTAGTAACTACATAGCCCCAGTACTCTCCAGACTATACAGAGCGTCGCTCCTACTGGGTCACATTCCCAGTAGATGGACTGAGGCTAAGGTGGTATTTTTACCGAAGGCAGGTAAACCGGAGCAAATGCCTTCATCCTACAGACCAATTAGCCTCAGCTCCTTTCTCCTAAAAGGCATGGAGAAAATCTTGGATCAACATATCAGAGAAGTCAACCTAGCGGAACGACCACTGAATAAGAACCAATTTGCCTATCAACCAGGCAAGTCCACTGAGACTGCCATTCACAGCCTTACATCGAAAATCGAAAAGGCTCTGGAGTCTAAGAACATAGCCCTTTGTGCCTTCATTGACATTTCAGAGGCTTTTGACAACACGTCATACAGGGCAATAAGAGATGCCCTGATATGCAAGGGAGTGAGCCCCATCATAATAAATTGGGTGCTTTCTATGCTAAAAACAAGGAAGATCAGGATGGAGCTGGGAGGCACGAAAGAATCGATTACAGCCACAAGAGGTTGCCCTCAAGGGGGTGTACTCTCTCCTCTTCTGTGGACTATGGTTATAGACGAACTCCTGTTCCTACTGAACGACCATGGCTTTGAAACACAAGGATATGCAGACGATCTGGTAATTTGTGTAACAGGGCTGCATGACGAAACGATCTCCAACCGCATGCAACAAGCCCTGCGCATTACGCAAAGATGGTGTGACACCAATGACAGAATTGACTCTGGGCGGCACTAGAATAGGGCTCTCAAATGAAGCAAAATACCTGGGGGTGTGGCTAGATAAGACACTCACCTGGAATGTACATTTGGATGCAACCGTAAACAAGGCAATGAGAGCCTTCTTCGCATGCAAGCGACTTTACGGGAAGACATGGGGACTCTCCCCCAAAATGACTTACTGGTCATTCAACACAGTTGTGAAGCCGATAGTCACCTATGCATCCTTGGCATGGTGGACAAAAGCGACACAAAGAACTGCTAGCGCAAAACTAAGCAAACTACACCGAATGGTGTGCATTGGTATAACAGGGGCTATGCGGACCTGTCCTGCTGATGCACTAAGTGCTCTTGTAGGCATACCGCCCTTCCCAATTCTAATAGAGAGGGAGGCTAGTCTCTCGGCACTGAGAATCCTAAACACTTCCGAGTTAAAAACCGGAAACATGACAGGTCATATGAAGGTCCTTATGAAATTCACAAATGACCCCATAATGCATATGAGGGACTCAGTAGCTCCGATACTAGTAATTTCTAGGAATTTCAAGATATCTATTGCGGACCGAGCATCCTGGAGCACAGGAAACCCCTACACCAAACCCGGAGCTGAAGTTTGGTACACTGACGGATCAAAACTTGAAGATGGAAAAACTGGAGCTGGTATATTGGGGCCGAATTTTAAAAGATCGATACCAATGGGCAGCTACCCCACCATTTT